GCATGCCTGTCAAATCCCACCAGTGATAACGAAGGAAGACAAAAGGCTTGCTTTAATCCCTAACTCCACCCGATGTCAGACTGTACATAGTACACGGTACGGAAAGGAATTTATCGGGGACACCATTCTACAGCCGACGTCGCCACAATGAAGTCCTGTCGACAGAATCGAATACAGCACGGATATGCAGGCACACAACAGCCGGTGACTCATGATACAACTGGGTAAGCTCAAGGATCTGGAGGAGTGTGAAAATCTGGTCGATGCAGCCGCCACCAAGGCGGAACCCAACCTGTTCTTTCCGCTGTAGCGATTCATGCGTTAGGGATAGCCTACGAAGTACGATAGATACCAGAAGACCGGAAACAAAATTATATGCCTGTAGTCGGAGCAGAATGTTCGCCGGCTCTTTGTGGAGATGGGGATGACTGTCGGATCACCAGAAGACCATATAACCCCGTCTTTGGACCAGACTTCTGAGAGCAAAGCGGCGAGTTCTCTAACCAGCGAATAGCCATTATTCTTAACTAAGGCGGGAGGTAAGCCATCATGGCCGAGTGGTTTAGGACGCTGCAAGAAGCGGGAGGATCTGTGAGGATAGACCACTGAACATGAGTGAGCGCTCCAGACAAAACGGATGGAGGTGGTGGCTTGCGAAACTGCAAGCCAAAATGTTCAGCCCATCGTTCCCATGTTACTTGTAGCTTAGTATGTATGGAGGCATTCATTTTGCAGATTGTTTCACTTAAACGAGACCAGAAACCTTTGGTGACTTAGATGAGATGGAACAAATTTCTGTTATTATCATCATTAGAAAACGCCATCGCTATAGCAGGTTCACACAGTCACGCTTCACGTAGCTTTTGTAAAGTTCTGCAAAATTCTCAATCCGATGATCGATGTTCTTCACAACGGTTGTCGTCGGCCGGAATCGCGCGGGGTCTGTCCATCAGCAACAAGGAAATAGCGGTGATCCAGCTTTCGGCGGGTGATGGGTAACTCCCCAACCGTTTATGATGGTAGAAAGTAAGGCATTTTCACGCACAAGCACTGTGAATTTAGATCGCCGCCAGAAATTGAGGTAAACAGTGTCGTGAGAGACCTGTTACTTGACCAACTTCGTATGGTCTCGTAGATTTTCGACGTTCGGTAGGTAGTGCGCCTACTTTAGTGATCCCTCGAAACGCATGCCAGCCTTACCAAGACGCAGTGCATGATCGAACTCTAGACAAGTTAAACAGTACGGTCGGCAGTACCTTACTCTTCCGCGCCACCTCTAACTTATTGCTGTAGTAGATTGGAACCACCTTAGCGTATGAGAATATGGGCACCAGGTATCAGTCTATCTTCGAGTGGCGTAAACTGGTGCTTGGAAAGTATGGGCGATGATGAGAACAATGCGTCAGTAGTCTGTTCCCTAACCCGATGGACTACTACCGAAACAAAGCTACACGCAGAAAGAGGCTAGTTTGGCAACAGGCGCTCAACTCCTGCGTTAAAATCTCCGGCATGAGTGACGAAATTAGATTGTTTGTAGAAACGCAGGCAATGCGTCTTTCCACGCATCCGAGCTGCATTTTGTAGGAGCGTAGGCGGAGATGAGAAATAAGACATGCTTAGTATCTCCACGCTTAGTTATGTGACCCTGTAGCCTGCCTACACATTGCCGACTGTTGATTGGAACTAGTCAAGCAAATCGGTCTCAGCCCGACCAGCTTGGCCAGCGGCTGTATACTCTGGGTCCCCGGAAATTCGTAACTGATATATCACGTCGGTGTTTCTGGTGAGTTCCTTCAGATGATGGCACGAGTGTTTTGCAATCTGGTCTCCGAAAGGCAACTGATGTCTACCGAGAGCATCTCAAGTGTGCAGGCCACACACGCTTGCCTTTAGATCTCCATCAGGGTGGGGATATTGAATGTTGCAAGGCCGGATGAAGAACCAGATCGAAGCGAATCTGAGGCACCACCAGAGTGTGAGAGGCCTGTGATCGTCAGGCATCAAACACCGTGAGTTTGACTGTTACTTCCGCCAGGTGTGATCAACGAGCTATTGCTGGCAGTGACCGGGGGGGACATAATTTTAGAAGAAAGGGACGTGGGGTAATCTGTGAGTGGAGGTTGAGCAATGTAATTAGACGAGCCAAGAAACGCAGTAAGAGTGAAAGCAGTAGTATATTCCATCCAGGATTCTTCAATGGACAGTATACTACCCGGATGCGCATGTCCGAGTTTTTGATCTGGTCTCTAACCTACAAAACGGCAGAGTGGTATGTGGGATTCGTAATCCGTTGGGATCCATAGACCAAACAACTGGTTCATACGCCTTTAGGTCCGGCAATGATTCAGATGCCAAAAGCATTCAAGCATTACAGTGCCACTCAGAGGAAGGCCAAGAGCGATGACTTTATTTAGTGGCTAGTCGCATCCACCACGTCAAATTGTTGTTAAACGAATGTGTGCTGTTTATAGACATAAGGCATGTCAGGCGAGAACCCACCACGTGCTAGAACACTGCCAGCGAAACGTTCGCTGGAATGGGGTACATCCGAATCACACAGCCGGGACCACGAGGAGGTGGTCCGACCAGCCAGCGAAGTGAACTAAAGGAACAATACTATATAAAACTCAGTGGTCCGAAATAAATAGCGAAGGTAACAAACTTATAGCTAAGTAACAACGTCTGTTGGTCACGGTAGTAGTGGCAGCCTTATAAATCAATTTGTGTGTACAATTCCGGCCTCAGATGTTAGATACAAATGGCCTCGGCAATTGACACGAGTCGCAAACGGAAGCCTTGCGAAAAGCGTTAGGGCAGTGCGTAGAAGACTTTGGAGGCTTCTCAGAAGCTGTATGACCATAATTGAGGTGGTGTGACTTACTTGAGCTGTTTGAGGACCTCATTTCACCTTCGTAAAACTACGTCGGAATGTGCTCCATTCAAGTCAACACTGTGCTTTGTGGGCCCATGAAGTGTGAATATTGCGCCGAAACGTAAGCCAATGACACAAATAAAACCAGTGTAAGTATAATGGCAACCTGAAACCGTGACAGTAATATTACCAAACCACTTTAGCAATCAGTTCTTGTTTGACTAAATTGTGATCCCTCAAAAAGCATGACAAATAGGGAAGAACTGACATAACAAAAGCCCGTGTGCGAGCATAAATTGCTTCGTACGTTAGTCTGGTCGGGGAAATTGAGAAACATTCCGACAGTTCACTATCGAATAGGTGAATGGTTTGGGTGATTATGTTAGACGCCAGTGTTCCGCGGGAGTTAAGGTGATTGCACACAGTGAGGTCAGTAGATTCCGTCATTGAAATGCCGCTACATTTAGCAATGTGCTTCAGTGACTTGTTGACCACATTGAAATGCCCGTTAACTGTTCGAGAAAAATCACGGTATTAGCAAATTTTCAGGTGCGGTAATACGCGAGCGATAATGAACAGTAAAATAAATAACTAGTTACGGATGAGGACTTAGGTCGGAAGAGGTAGAAAGTTAGTCTCCAGACGAACGTGGTCACAGAGCAGTGTATTGGTCGATTCATGGCGCTGAAATAACTAGTGGGAAATTGCATGTACTTAAACAAGTGGATGACGTTATCTCAGCAACCTGAACAGAATTATTGAAAATGTTGAAAAGATTGGTACCTCTGCTGTCACAACGGGGTTTATTGGGATTGGCGCTGCATGGGCCCCGTATTCCTAAAGGTGAGTGCAGCCACCATTGGTAGACAATACAACAGTGGTTTATAATTGCTGCAAAAGGGTACACTTGACAAATTCCATACAACGATTAGGACAGAATTACAAGAGGAAGGTAAAGCTTTTAACAAAATATGACAAGTACTGATGGATTCATCAGGCTTCTCGCATTATTACTGATGTAAATACACTTGCTCGGTTGTATGGGGAATTATGAGGCGTACACCGTTTGGTTGGTTTTATAACATTACTGGATGAGCACATGATATGGAATCACTTATAATTTGTGGGATTTTTACCCCTGTAGATTCCCTGCATGCGCACCGAACCGGCGAAAGCAGTGTTCATCGTCCTATTCAAGTAGCCCCCTGCATTTAATTCCTGTAAGAAGTGTCCTCCTAGTTTATCTTGAAAATTGCAAACCATTCCAATTTCTTGGTTAACGAAAAAAGCCAAGATGCATGAACCCACAATCTTTGTGTGGATTAGGACAGAACAACAATGGAAGAATAGTTTATTGTGGGTAAACAACGATCCATAACATGTCCAGGTGGGTGGAGAGAATTCAGCGAAGAAAATATAATGAGTGAGTCTAGATGTGACGAATTTCTACCTATGCCAATCAACTCCCCCTACTACTCCACTGTAATCAGTACGCAGACCAAACTGCTTATAATGTCATAAGTTAATTGGCGGCTTAAGTTTGGTAAGCTCGTCGCTTGGTGAGGGGGCTACCCTGTCCTCTGCACGGCAGTAACGTGTAAGTCAGTGGATAGTGAGCGGCACTATATCACATCTAGTAACGTATTTACGATGCGCGTTACCGTGCCTCGTAGCTCAGTGGTCTCAACCACGGACTGGCAACAGTCGAGGTGCGGGTTCGAGCCCTACCAGGGTTCGATGGAATGCGCATTGCGGACGATTTACGAAAGGATGGAACGCGCGTACAGTGCTTTTCCGGGCGTGTGACGGCTGTCTGAGTGAGTTTAGATGTGACGAATCTCTACCTATACCATTCAACTCCCCCTACTACTCCTCTGTAAAAATGCAACGTGTTTTGGCGGACTCACCATGGTGGTCGCACTGAGAAGTGCGTAGAAAAGCTGAGGTTTATTTCGATTCGCCTTCTGACTACATAACCGGCACATTGAGTATCGATTTTAGTGTACAAAAATATCTTAGTTTTTACAAAGATTTATATGAACCTTGTACTTTGACCTTTCACCAACACCACATATAAAAGGTGATGCGTTCTTCGATGAGACTATATACAAAGTTTCTTTTTACTCAGGTGGGATACTTATCATTACTCCGGAAACCGGAGACAGGAATGAGAAGAGCACTACAGGCGATTCGGCGGAGAAATACAAGTTTGTGCCATCTACCAAAAAGCACTGCACGTGCCCGAATGAATAGCAAAATATTAACCAACGTAACAGATTCCACGAAGCGGAAGTATCTGGGAGACTCAGCTGCATTGCAGCACATTCTATCAGGCCCAAACCCTGCTTACAAAACAGGACTGCTCCAAGAATCCGTTGGGCCAGTTATCGCTGCGAAGGCAAAAACAAGATATACAAAACCTTCCTTAATGCGTTCGAGTAATCGTCGAGCGCTTATCAAACGCAGTCAAAATTATTACCCCAGGGTCGAATTCACTACTGACCTGCACCTGGGTGTGGGTAACGCAGTGAAGAAATCTCTAGGTAAAGCAAAGTTTCCGACAACTGGCAAATCGTTACAGCTAAGAAAACATGTCAACAGAAAAAAGCAAATCGATGGAAATTTGTTGTTGTTGGAGTATGAGCGAGACTTGTTCTCACCTCAGAACATGGTACCATGGCTGTAAGGCCCCAAAAAGTGGATTTATTCAGTGATTTGTTCCCTCATCAAATGAACCATTTGTGTAAAACCTATACCATAACGGAATCACACACTATTCCGCAAGCCGACTGGTTATCTAAAACCAGGCGTCATCTAAACCAAAAATTCTACGAAAATGGACTTCAGCTTGACGGTTTTTTCCCATCTGACTTCATGAATTCTGTTTTGCTTATACTATACGTTCTAGATTCGCATGGTCTTCACAGTTTAACGTTGATACATATACACCTGCTGCGGTATGTCCAGGAAGTATTGAGAACCTGGTTAAAGATGATGTTTGTTGTGCATGATAAAGTTGTAGATATTGGTACTGCGTCACAATGAGGCCAGTAGTGTTCAGCCAAAAGTAAGATATCATATGATATAGTGTGCAAGATCTAAGTCCTATGATCCCAATAAATACGACTTCCTTTTCCTCTTGTACTGAAGTCGAGTAGGGCAGTGAATTTAAGCAGATGAATCCCTGCGTTCCAAATGTCCTGGACAAGAAGTTTAGTTTCACTGCTTGGAAAGACAATCGTGTGCATAGCTGCAATTCGAGGCTCTTGGCATCTACTTGATCCTGAGGCCCCATCTTGCCCACTTTTCCACTAAACTCCGGTCAGCAACTAATTGCAGCTGCTCCCATCGGCTGTGTATTTTCCGAAGTTACGTGTGATTAAGGGGAGATAACACACCGAAGAGTTAAACTGGTGGACTTTTGGTATTTCACATTCCGTATGGTACGCAGTGGTCCGAGTGGGTGCCGTAGCAGGTCAAGTGAGCTCTCGGTTTGATAAGCCGACGGTTCACCACAACACAGCAGCCGAGCTAAGAAAGCAATAACACGGTTAGCACGTGGAAGAGTAGATTAGTAGAGAGTGCAACAAATACAATCAGGAGACCATGTGACCAATTATAGCTGCATCTGGCATCTACAAGAATTTAGTGAATAAAGCACAGGTCAAATATTCACAATTTAATTATTTAAACATTTTATTACACATTTGTGATTGATAAAATATCTGTCAACCATGGTAAGGCGTACTAAGAATTAAGACTGCAACTTCACTCATAATTTTGTACTTTCCGTGGTACCGATAAAACCCATCTAGAAAGGGAAGCTAATACATCGTCGTACGAATCGGAGTTTTAGCGGAAGTCCAGATAGCAGTTTCAGAAGGCAGACCGAAGGCATAGAAGTCCTTATTTAGTGCAGTAAAATGTTCCCCGCTGGCCCAGCTATAGAAACAACACCTGTAGGTGCTGCTAGCCAAGGTAACAAAACAACGAGCTGCACACGAATAGTCGCAATTCACGAACCGAACGCGTGCCAAACGTGATGGCGGTGCTCGAATGAGGCAACCGAACAAAACTTGCAGTTCGACGTCCCGCACCGATTGCGTAAGTGTACATGGCAATACTAATTTTAGTTGATTCTATAAAGATAAACCGGGGAAATCGCCAGGCCGTTACAGTTTCGCAACTTAGCCACGTTAAGGAGCGCGGTCTGCTTGGGCATTAGGCTTAAATTACGCGATGCAATCGACTGCAGGCTAGCTCAAACTTTGGTCACGCTAAAATGAACGCCGATACAAGCAGACCCCTCTCCATGATATAGTCTCTAGATTGGTGGAGTTGCGGATTTCGCGTATTTGACAGGCCCGTGGGGAGGAAGTCCTTTATATTCCAGAGATTAGTGAGGTTATTGACTCTCTCGATATCTACGCGTAAGTAGTATGCGTTCGCTGGCCATTACGATTGAGGGTTTTGACATTAGTCTGGACAACGTCCCGCAGTCTGGTGATTAGCACGGGGCTACGCTTACATAGGTGACAATGCGTTCAGGTGGTGGCGCTATCCTTCAATGGAACAATGGTATAGTACGGATAAAAAGTCCAAGTTTTCACAACTTCCGCAGGATGGCTTATATGAATTACGTTAGTTCAACAATTTACACTAAAGTGGAACGCGCATTTGTGAACTCACCATATTTTTCACGCTAACACAAATATCTACACATCCACCCTGATTTCGTGGGGGCTGGTGAGCACAATCTTTGTCTGCACCTTGTCGTCACACAATAAACAGAAATCAAATCAAATACTGTAGGTAGAATAATGCATCGTCGAGTCCTTTTTCAAAAACGGGTAGCGTGGGCGTAGGTACACCAAAGGTCAAAAGGGAGTTCCACGTTTGACAAATCTGATCGCCGCGGAGGTGGAGTCGCCTTGTAATCAGATGTGGTGTAAACATATCGAAAACACACCTTTAACTCAGCTGATAAAACTGCTGAAGCTCTTGCAGTTGAAGTCTGTACCGAATCAACACAAGTTAAAATTGTGCTGCTGTATAGGAGCCCTGATAGCGCTTCTGGGAGTTTCATTGACTTCATCCGCAATCACTCTGCGAACAGATGCATGATAATGGGTGACTTCAAAGTCCCTGAGGTAAATTGGCATGACCTATCTTATGAGACAACGACAACAGGGTTGGCTACCGAGCTTGTTGACTTGACGCTGGAAGTACCCTTACACCAATTTGTCAATCGACCCACCAGGTACATGGTGGGTCATGCTCCTTCTCTGTTAGACTTAGTTTTCGCAGTCGGTTGACTTTGTGAGTGACCTTGAGTACGGTCCCCCTTTGGGAGCCAGTGACTATACGTGTTTGTCATTCACTTGTGCTCTCATTAGAGACTACGATTCACGCAGGGTCCGGACTCCGAACATTTGGCACGACGACTTTTCGTCTATTAGAGCCAAGGCAGTAAGTTTCCATGCATCATCTTGCCGGATGATGATATACGGACGGCTTGGGATGCGCTTAAGTCTTTCCTCTTTAATATATCCCACTCCCACATCCCATTTTCGATGAAGAAGAGTACCAAAGCGAAGCCACGATGGTTGGACTCAGTCGTACACCAGCTAATGAATAGACGGGCAAGATGCTGGCGGATCTACTGGACAGTTCTCTCAGAATGTACTTTGCGGCGTTATCGAAAAGCTCGGAATGCTTGCAAGAGTCATTTACGAGCTACTAGACTTAACTATGAGATGGAGCTGGCTGACAGCCTCCGCGAATCCCAAACGATGCCTCGTCTACGTTAAAAGGCGTAGTAACGTTGGCTCATCTATCCCAGTGTTATTAGGTAGCAACCGCACCATTGCCAACACTGATCACGAAAAGGTATGTCTACTCAGTGGCCAGTATGCCGGGACTTTTGTTCGGGATGAGCAGTTGCCGCTTGTTGACTTGGCAATGAGAGTCCCACAGAACTCTTGTTTAACACACGTCACAATTTCGGAGCCAAAAATTCTCCATTTTCTTCAGCGGCTAAATCCGCTGGGATGAATGATATTCACCCTATAATAACAATAAGTGCGGCCCTACAAAGACCCTTATGGAACACTGCAGTCCACATCAGTTGGATCAGAAAATGAGCCCCGAACTCGCACCTGATGGGGCAGCTTAAGTAGGAACTTTCTCATCCATTCAAGGACAGGGTTCCCAATTCCGTACGCTTGCAGTTTTTGGAGAAGTATACCGTGATCTAATTGGTCGAAGTCCTTAGAAAAGTCGAGACAGATGACACTAGTGCCGGTAGCACTCTCGGTTATTTCGGTTGGACTGCCACTCGCAACCAGTAGACTGGTCCTACATGACCGAAGCTGACAAAATCCGCGTTGCATCTGTGCTACGTTAAAACTTTCGAAGAAAGCCCTTAATGCCTCGACTATGATCATCATCTTTGAGAGCACCGGGAGGAGAATCACTGGGCGATAGTTGGCGGGATCCGAACGGTTATCACCTGCTGTTCTTCCAGGCATCTTGGGAAAAAGGGCTTAAAGGCTCATTTATCCTAGTAGCTTCCAACTGCAATGTTTTAGGGGGCATATTGTTAACCCCGGGGGAACTATGAGTGCGCAACGCTGTCAGACTCCTCAAAGTGGTCACCGAACTAAAACTGAAATGTCTAACTACTAGCAATTGGAAGAATTAGACAGGCATGTGACACATGCTGGTAGCGCGTCAGCAAACTGAAGCATATTGTAGCCGTAGAAGCTTGGATGCATCCTTGGCATTTCGAGCACATGCATTTGGTGAGGTAAGTAGATGAACACCGCCCTTCACATTCCGGATGCTGTTCACATGTTTGTACTGAAGCTTATTTCTGGCACAAAACCTTTGCACTAGGTTCTGCTGGTGTACTAATTTCCCCTCAAGAACAAGTGTGTTACAGTGATCATGATGCAAGTGGTATTTGCTCTCGTTGTCAGGGCCATGGTTCCTTCGCTATACATGTCACACTGCGCCTCTTACTATCAGGAGTTTTCGGGTTCTGTTTCGTATGAATGATTGTGAGGATTTAATCAGATCACTGAACTTGCAAGCAAAGTCCATCGTGTCCTTAGTGACGCAACGTTGTGTTTTACTAGAAATAGTGAACATATCCCCACAATATTTAGTTCGAGCTACCTAATGCCCAGAACACAAGAAACAGTATCAGAAGCAGATGCCACCGTCACCAACGCAACACAGGGTTAAGAGTATGTGCTGATTTTAATGGAATTTGGAGATCCAAATTTGCTTAAAATTTTGTGTAACAAGCGACAAGAACAGTATTCCGTTCTGCAAGAAACCTAATTGGCTGGAAATTTGAATGGTTATTCGACTGCTTTACATGATCAGTTGCAGTAAAATAAATCGTTATCTTTAGTCCATACACCTCCGTTGCTTTGGGCTCGTAGTGACATAAGTAAATCATGTACACTGACAGCATCAACGCTGGACTTTAAAAAAGTGGCATCAGCAGTACGGCGATACAGAGTACCGACTCTTCGTTGCCGCGCGACCAACGCCAGTCGCACGTGGACCAAGGATACGGCGTGTCACCCGGTTCCTACGCGGGCTCGAACCCGCGCCCTCGGATTACAAGCAAGGCTTAGGATCCAAGGAACTAGGGACCGGTGGACTTTAAACAAG